TCATATCCATTTACTTCCAGGACAGCGTGGGACTCACTGAGAGAATCAAGCACTCCAAAATGCAGTCGCTTGTTTATGTAGGCAGGCTGAATGACATGGCCATCCCGTCGATCATGGAAGGCGATTGAAACATGGTCACATGCATCGCGACCAACAGCGCGGAGGGCAGCATCTATGACTACTTTGCTGTTCCCGACAGGCTGGCCACAAAGCTGCAGCCCCCGATGGTCGCCGAAGCTGCTGGCATGCCAGCGCGCAAACCAGTGGGGCTCCCTGTGCCTGGCGGGGGCCGAAGGGCATGGCTGACGGCCCCGTGCGAGCCGACAGCGCTACCTCGGATGCCGCAGGTTGGTTGTTCGAGACCACCGCCGCGCTGGAATGGGGCGAGGAAAATGACCAGGCAAACGCAAACGCAAATGCAGGAGCAAGTCAACCAGGCCTTGGACAACACGACCACGTTGCCGGAGGAGGAGTTGCTAGGCAGGTGCGACATTGCGGGAGAACGACCCGAGTCTTATCGAGGACGAGGAGGGCCAGTTCGCACAGGGAGCTCGTGGAGGCTGCGTGGACTGCTCCGCGACCCAGGCCGAGGTTGTCCTCGCATGGCAGCGGTTGGGCAGCCGCAGCGACATGGGCCAATCACATGATCAAGATGATGGCCTTGTGGGCCAAGCTGATCCATGAGCACAGGTCTGTGATGGGCCTCAACCGCGCCATTGCTCTGCCTGATTCCACATCTCCACGGACAGACAGCAAGGCGCGCGGAGCGGCCGATGGGGATGGACGGCAGGTTGCGAGACAAGCGAACACGTGAAACAGAAAGCCGAGCTTCAGATTCGACGCATTAAGACGGTGAGCCCATGAATCGTCTCACTGCATCCATTGCTGAGTTCCTTGGTTTTCGTCGCAGGACTGCAGCGCGGCATGGCGTTCTAGCAGCGCTCAGCCAGGAGGCGCGAAGCTGCGTCTTGATGTTGCCTCTCTTGGCAGCACTGATTTTGAAGATATAACGTTCGGCATCGCTGAGAAGGCAGATGAGTGCACGATGGAGCTTGACAAAGGGAGTTCTAAGCAGCGGGGGCAATGGATGAGCACCGCATATCACAACGGAGCAAGCAGGGCTCACAGACCGACGCGGCTGCAGGCTCTGCGGCGCAACATCATGAGCACAGGGCGCACGCTGCCGCGACTGCTTGCTGATGATGAGATGTGGGCATGGCGCGCGGCATGGACATGTCATGACACGCAGCGCATGAGGCCGCCGAGCACGCGTGTTGATTGGCACGACCTCCCTTTTCATATCCATTGAGGGCGCGCGAGAGGCCATGGCGACCATTGGAACACGGCGACGGGCCCCTCCAAGATTCACCCCAGATCATTCAGCTACGTCTCGAACGAGGGGCTCTAAGTGTTCCCGGAGTTTTCCATGAGGTGCGAGAAGGTGCTGTTGTGGCCCAGTAGCAGGGTAATGAACGAGATGGCTCGCTTGGCTGAGCCCGACGGAGGGACTAGACTCATGTCATTGCCCCCGTGGAAAGCTCGGTCAGATTATGGCCCAGAATTCGCAGGTCCACATCTAGAGGATGGATAAGGCGGCGCGATGGCAAACACCTTTGGGGGGCTGCAGTTCCACCTCCATTTCGGCGCACCCCTGCACTTTTCGTGGCGCCATAGGGTGCTCCACCGAAGGCCCCAGTGGCAGGGTCCGCATGCGGTTCCGCCTCAATTATGGCGCACCCCTCACACGTTTCGTGGCCCCAGAGGGTGCTCCACCGAAGGTCCCAGTGGCAGGGTCCGCATTCAGTTCCACCTCCATTTCGGCGCACCCCTCGCACGTTTCGCGGCACCACAGGCCACGGGTGCCCCACCGCAGGCCCCAGTGGCAGGGTCCGGATGCAGTTCCACCTCCATTTCGGCGCACCCCTTACACTTTTCGTGGCACCATAGGGTGCTCCACCGAAGGCCCCAGTGGCAGGGTCCGCATGCAGTTCCACCTCAATTATGGCGCACCACTCACACGCTTCGTGGCCCCATAGGGTGATCCACCGAAGATCCCAGTGGCAGGGTCCGCTTCGTCGTCGCATACAGCATATTCACGTAATCCACAAGCTGAAGTCGCCGCTCAGCTAGGCGAGCATTCGATCAGCATCGCACTAGACATGTGGAAGTGCTTCGAGACGGCACAAGTTTCCTGCTTTGATGTCAGGGGCTGCGGCGCTCCCACATCCCTCGAGGCTGCCGCGGGTGCTTTTGGAATCCTACGGACAGCCTAGGTTTATCACAGCATGCGGCTGCTGGAGTTTGCCCTCGAAGGAGCAGCAGAGTATTTTGGCTGGCTGCACGCGCGCGACGACGCTGCTCAGTACTTTGACGCTCCGCGCTATCACCAAAGTTCACGCCAGACATTCTATGGTAATGCCACGAGCTCGAGTAGATGATAGCACTCTTCAGTGGGTTGGGAGCAAGCTCGAAGATGCCAAGGAGCTCCCGGAGGCTGTCTCGGAGGTCAAGGAGGACGTTCGGGAGCTAGGACTCAAAATTTAACCTGAGAAGTCTGGGTGGGTATCGGTATCCAGGGCTTCCTGGAGGTCGTTTGATCATCGGGCTAAGCAGCTACGTCTCCGGGCAAGACATGGCTGCGAAACTTGGGCCATGAGCTGTCCGGGAGTAAACCGACAAGAGAGCAGGCGGCCACGAGACATAACAAGCTTTGGTCTAGGATGCCAAGAATGATGGCGGTGCGGAAGAATGCTGCAACAGGTGGCGGCGCTATGGCGCACTGGCCTACTCCCCGCAGCTGAGCGCGGTGCCCGAGCTCGCTAAAATGCGCCGCACTGCCGGGGTGATCTGTGGCAGGTCTGCTTCTTCGACGTCACCTGCGTTAGAGCTACCCACACAGAAAGACGAGATGTACGACCCTGTTTTCCATGCCACGTTGGAGCCTGTGAAGGCTTATGCCAGCTTTGTTTGGAATGAAAGGGTATCCATGGGCAGATTGCAAAGGGCTTGGGTTTCGGTGAATGAGCAAATGGTGAAGGAAGCTACCTGGACTCAAGCACGAAGGCCCATATATACGTTGTGGCTGACACTCGCTAGGATAGGTTGGAGCATGTTATCTTGAACGGTACTCGTTGGCGACAAGAACTACAGCATAGACATGATAGGTATACCACCCAGATCGATTACATTGTGAAAGAGGGTATACACTGGTGGCAGTCGAGAAGGATACCCGGTCGCCATCAGGATGCTTGTTTTGGCGGCGAGGCTTTTTGGATGCGGAGTATTCGGCGATGCCTTGGCGGAGCCAAGGCAGCTGTTCGAACTCCTAGGTTTGCAGGAGCGCTGCGAACTCTACGGCCTGGAGGGCTCTGGACACGCAGCAGGATGCAGCAGGCATGCTACCAGATTTCCCCAGCATGCTCATGGTGCCCACAAGGACCTGCAGATACTCTTGGCCACCAGATCTATGACTGCCCCAGAATCTACAAAACACGTTCGACGAGGACCCCCTCTGGGACCCCAAGCTGGACCCCGTGTATCGCATCTGCGGGAGAAAGGGATCGCTGGGCTTGGGCTAGATGACAGGGACAAGTTTGGGACGTGTATCGGCATGCCGTTCGCTCCCCCCGCGCTCCAAAGGTGTCCAACAAGATGCCTGCGGTGTTCTGGGGAGACTGGGAATCTGAAACGGGATTCATGGTCGACGGTTGTGTTCCCTGATGTGTCTGGAACGGTCCCCAGCTGGCCAGAGCTTCGTAGATGTGGATGGGGGTTCTGGCAGTTGAGACACAACGGTGCGCCTGTTCGAAGAGCCTGGGGAGCGCTGCCAGGTCCGATCCTAACAGTAGGCCGTGCGGAACGCATGGGATTGCTGCAGGTGCTCAGGCTGATCCCCATAGTTCCTCGTGCGGTGACTGGTTTACTGTCGATGGTGGATGAAGGTGTTGTTTGGCACCAAGACCAGGCAGACGGACAAGCCACCTATGCTGATAGATGGCGTGGTATGTTCTCTGATGTTGGAGATCGTCCACCGCCACAAGGTTGTTGGATTCCAGCGCACATGTCACTGGAAAAAGCGTTCGATCCAAGGCACCCCTTCGAGTTCTATCTCGGCAACGGATGGGCTGCCTGGTTCGCTAAATGGGGTGCCCTCGTGCATGCGCTACCATAATGTCTGGTCCTGAATCATGAGGCGCTGCTCTCGCACGCCAAGCTCCAGGCCAGGGTCTTCGGGTGGGTGGCGGCGAAGAGTGCGTATCGAGATGGTGGGGGTGAGAGGCCCGCCCGTTCGTACAGACCCTCCACTCAGGGACCCCCCAAGTTGAGCCTCGCGGCCCATGACATGGCCAGTCGAGTTTTACATGAATGCCGTGCGCAGCACTGTAAACGATGCCCAAGTGTAGTTAGGACTCCTGCCAGCTTGGCCAAACTGCTAAGCTCCCCATGTGCCCCAACACCTCAGCAGTGCTTAGTGGGGTCCATGGACACAGCTTTGTTGCAAGCTCCTAGTGTTCGTTCCCAGGCTGTCGTTGCGGCCCTACAGTGGGCTGACGAAGTAGATGGATTGGGCCTTGCGAACGGGGGTTCCGCTCTGTGCGAATCGTCGGTGCCGCCGCCTGATGCCATCGTCGAGCTACGAGGGGACCAGGTGTTGGTGCCCCACGGTGCCGTGGTGTGCACCTTGCGTGGCTCCTATCAGATGTGTTTCCAGGCGGCGAACTGTAACGTGGACGAGGACTGCAAGGGGCCCTCCCAGGCACCCCAGGCCAGATATAGGCAGATAAAGCCATAAAGTCTGGCAAGCACCCCAAGACGGGGAAACCACTTGGCTAAGTATGTAAGCTATGGCCCGTGCTCCAGTCCTCTGCTGCACGACAGGTCATCGGCGTTGTCTCCTCCTCCTCCTCCTCCTCCTCCCCCTCCTCCTCCTCATCATCATCATCAGCAGCATACTCCTCCCCCTTCACCTCCTCCTCCTCGCCCTCTTTCCCAGCCCGAGCCTGCTTCGTGTACTGCCCAGGGTCGGCGCACTCACACGCCTTCCCGGCGAGGCGGGGGGCGGCGGAGGAGAGACGACGACGACGGCGAGGACGACGATGACGGCAAGGATGACAACGACGGCGAGGAGGACGACGACGACGACAACGGCGAGGAAAACGGCGAGGAGGACGGCGAAGATGATGAGGAAGGGGGAGGAGGGCGGCGAGGATGAAGACGACGAAGGCGAGGAGGAGAGGACGACGGGGGAGGAAAGAGAGCGGCCAGGAGCGACGACGACGGCGATGAGGACGAGGCAGGAGCAGGGGGAATAGAGGACCCACCATTATCCTGACGCGTGCACCCAACCCAAAGCCGCCATGACATCTCATGCGATGTAGCTCGAATGGTCGTCGAAGCGAAGCGAAGCCCTCCTCCTCCACCTCCTCCTCCTATGCCTCCTCCTCCCTCCTCCTCCCCCTCGCACTCCTCCTCCTCCCCGTCCTCCCCCTCGTTCCCTTCCCCCATGGCATCCTCTTCCTACTCTTCCTCCTCCTCCTCTTCGACTTCCTCCTCCTCCTCCTCCTCCTCCTCCTCCCGCCCCCCCTCCCCAAACATACGACGATGTGTGTTTGTTTCGATACGGGCCCTGCAGATGTCCCAACTCTTTCCCCAAGACTGCCGCTCCGTCCTCAAGTGTCTTTTTGGCAGCCCAGGAGACCACCGAGGACCCCCAGAGGCCGAACATTGTCAAGCAACCCCGCCCTGATGATTTCAAGACTTCGGATGCCTGGGCCTTCTTCCTGACTGGAGCCCTCCCAGGTGGGATCCGAGTAGATGGATGGGGCCGGTGGATCGCGCCACATCGCCGATGCTTCGGCGATGCGGCTCGATGTGGAGTCCGACTTTCTCCCCGCCGACGTCGCAGATGCATCGCAACAGTCGCCAATGCATCGACGACCCATCGGCGATACACACAAATTAATATGCATATATATATATGCATGTATGCATGCATGTATGCATGCATATATGTGCATGACTAGATGTGTATGTATATATATATATATGTATGTATGTATGTATGTATATATATATATAGATATGTATATCCGTTGGCCCCCTTGCGGGGCCACCAGGCTGCGAGGGTGAGGATGGCAGCTCCCTGTTCCAGTTGCAGTTCCCAGTGTCCACTGTCACTGTACTGCTTTCTGCTTCCTTACTGTTAATGGTTGCTGTCCGCGCGAGGCGTGGGAGCCCCAAGCAAGTTCTTTTACCACGCCCTGGGAAGGGGAAGGTTCTCAGAATTCCTGGGGGGGGGGGCGTGGGACACGTACACATACATGAGGTTCGCGTCCCTGAGGCCATCATCCCTAGTATATTACGCCAGATGCGCGTCCCCAAGGCCACACACCTTACAAAATTCGCGTCCCCGAAGCCAGCATCCATTGTAACTTATGCGACAATTGCGTCCCACAAAGTTTTGCAAAGTATGCAACGTTCGCGTCCCCGAAAAAAATAACCGCAGTCACGTATGCGTTATTCGCGCCATCGAAACCATACACCATAGTAAGTTACACTATGCTCGCGTCCCCGAAGTCATACAACCTTGTAAAGTACACAGTATTTGCGTCCTCGAGGCCATGAACCCTCGTAAATTGCATGGTATTCGCGCCCCCGAAGCCATGAACCCTCGTAACGTATGCAATATTCGCGCCCCCGAAGCCATAAACCATTGAAAATTAAACAAGGTTCGCATCCCCGAGGCCATACAACATCGTAAAGTACAAGATAGTTGCGTCTTCGAGGCCATGAACCCTCGTAAATTACCCGATATTCGCGTCCCCGAAGCCATAAGCCCTCGTAAAGGACGCAAGATTCGCGCCCCCGAAGCCGTAAACCATTGAACAGTATGTAATATTCGTAGTTGCGAGATATTCCGCAGTTTGTGAAGTCCTGACATTGCTTCACGTCAGCGGCCAGACATCCCAACACAGCTCTGGCAAGTCCCATTCTAAGCAAGAAGGGCCGGCGGCATAGGGGCGAAGCCCTTACGCAGAGAGAGAGAGAGAGAGAGATATGGATGCGCAGCCCACCAACACCCATTCGTTTTGCATCGGCCTTTGAGCTCTCCATTCGTACTCTTACTGATCATCGGCCTTCTCTTCATCCGTGCCTGCTCATCCATCGCTCCTATTCGTTAGTTACCCGTTGTTCTATCGCACTGAAACCTGATTAGAAACGACTGGACCTGGGATATGCACACGCCCGATTGGATCCTAATTCGACCTCAGTAACTAATCAAAGTCTAACCAGCTGGATACGGGATCCGCTCCGTCCCAATTATATTCTAAGTGAATACAATGATAATGAAATTGGAATCAGCTGGATCTGGGATCTGCTCAATTCCAATTGGATCCGAAATATATTCCAATAAGAATACACTTGGAATCAGCTGGACCTGGGATCTGCCCAAGTGGAATTGGATATCTGCGTTCTTTAATCACAAGACTGCTCGCCGCTTGGGCCCCACCGCCAGCCAAAACGGCGAGCATAAATCGGGCGCAGCCCCACACGCATTCGAATGCCCGCACTTCGTCCTCGTACTACTCGCATTCCTCCCCGTTCTCCTCCCCATCCTGATCGTCGTCGTCCTCCTCATCCTACTCGTCTTCCTCGCCTTCCTCCTGCTTCAGCTCGTCTTCCTGTCGGTTGCGCCACAGGTTGCGCCCTCGGCCGCTGAGAATAAAACGTTTCCTATCGGTTGCACCATATGTTGCGCCATCGGCGGCTGAAGAACACGATAATAAAAAAACAAGTATCCAATCGGTTGCGCGGCAGGTTGCGCCCTCGGCGGCCGATAATAAAAACGTCTGCTGTCGGTTGCGCCATAGGTTGCGCCCTCGGCGGCCGAGAATTCGTCTCCTATCGGTTGCACCATTTGTTGCGCCCTCGGCGGACGAGAATAAAACCGTCGCCTATCGTTTGCGCCATAGGTTGAGCCCTTGGCGGCCGAGAATAGAACCGTCGCGTAACGGGTGCGACCAGTCTGTTCAGTTCAGTTCAATTTTCAGCTCAGTCAGTTACCTCGCGTGACATAAATTCGCGCTACGCCTGAAATTATATTATAGCTTGATTTCAATAGTGATCACATGGAAAACAGCTGGATCTGGGATCTGTCCAATTCCAATTAGATCCTATTTCGATTTCAAAAGGCGGAATGACAATTCGATCACAACTCGAGTCCAAAGGGAATCCAAATTGGACTCAGCTGGACCTTGGATGTGCCCACTTCCACTTACATTAGAATGATCGTCCAATGGGAATAGGAATGAAATCAGCTGGATCTGAAATATGCCTCTCTATCTCTCTCTATCTCTCTTTCTGTGTCTGTGTCTGTATATATGTCTCTGTCTCTCGCTCTCGCGCTCGCCCTCTCTCTCGCTCTATGTATGTGTTTGATGTTTGTGTTGCTTGAGTTGCTTCTCTCTCTCTCTCTCTCTCTCATTCTCCCGGACACCCAACAACATCGCTGTGAAAATGCAATGTTTGCGATGCCAGTGGTGTGGAAACTATGTGCTTCCATGTGGATGTTTGGTATTTCTGGGATGAGGCGTGAGGGAACAATGTATTTTCATGTTTGGGGGGCGGGATTTGGGGATTTTCCTCCCTCCAGCGTAAAGCGAACCCACGGGCCCTCCTAGGAGCTCCGATCCCCTGAATCAAAAAAATACCAAACATCCAAATGAAAACACATGGCTCCCTCACTTCTCATACCACAAATCCCAAACATCCGAATTGATATGCAATATATAGGTGTATACATAAAACAATGTGCACGAATACATATATATATATATATGTATGTATATATATATGTATATATATAAAAATAAATAAACACATCGGCGATGCGGCGCGATCCTCTGACCCCGCCTGCGAGTCCTACACTGCCCGTCCTCCACTGCCCCCGACCCCCACCCGGTCCCCGGGGGGACGCGCCGCGCGGCCTCGGGCGTGCACTGGTCGGCGGCCTCGCGCGCCGCCGCGGGCGCGCGCACGCGCGGAGGAGGCGCGCGCAGGGCCGCCGGGCGGGCCGAGCGCTGCGGGCGGGAACGTTGCCGCAGAGTGGGGAGGGGGGGGGGCAGAGGCAGGGGGACGGGAGAGGGGGGGGCGGCAAGCTAAGTGCGCTCGCGTCATATCTGACGTGTTACGCCTCCCTCCCATCCTTTACCATGGCGTGGATCGTAGATATCCCCTCGATTCGCACAGTCGGATGTCGAGCAGGGCAACGATCGCGAGAGGGTACGCGGTGCATGGTAGAGCACGACATGGCATGACGTAGAAGAGCACGGCAGAGCGTAGCATGCCATAACATGGCGTGGCATTGCGCAGTGAAGCATTGTATCAGAAAGAATCACAACGCATTGCATGGTGTCGCACAACGGCGCAAAACACAACACCGCACAACATGTCATGGCATGACACCGGGCTCCTTGGAGGGTAAGCGGATCGTCATCGAAATGTCTGGGCTGGTCTGGAGTCGTGGCTCCATGTCTGGCTCCTCGGGCTCCCAAAAAAGCTCCACACAAGGCGGACCTGATGGAGAGCACCTGCGGACTTTAAACATCTCCTGGTCAGAGCAGAAACGGGGCTCCCGCTTGATACTTCCTGAAAACGACAACTCCCCAAGTGGAGGGGGTCTTCTGCTGCCAGAAAACCAAAGAATCGACAATGCATGTGTAATCACTTCCGATTGTCTTTCTGATCATTGTTTAAAGTTTGAGGCCGAATTGGAACGACCGAAAGCGCCGCCCGCGCTGCACCGGGAGCGCGATTTGGAACAACCAGAGGCGTAGAACTGCAGCCAGCGCTTAGCGGGAACAACACTGTGAAAGAAAACCCCAGCGAGAACCATTTCCCGGGAATCCTATGTAAAAACAGTACGCGGTGGGGGGCCGGACATCTTCCGGACTTCATCAGGGGAGAAACGAGAGTAGCATTCATATTGCGTAACTGTGGAGGGGAAGGGAGGGGGAGGAGGGGGCAGGAAGGGAGTGAGGGAGAGAGGGAGGGAGGGCGGGGGGGAGCGAGAGAGGGAGGGAGGGATGGAGGGATGGAGGAGGATAGAGGGACGGACCAGTGCGCGCATCGATCCATCATCGACGAACTCGTCCGCAGTGCCTGCGCGGCCCAAACTCAGCAGTGCTGGCCCTTGATTTTCACAGGGTCGATATGTTCGGCAGGCGCTAGCGCCGCCACGACGACCCTGGCCTTCCTCATGGCGAGAGGTGGAGGGCAATCGCGGGCGCGCTGCTGACGACCAACGGGCTCGCCCACGGCGTGGCACAGTCGCCGCCGAACGACGCCCGCGCAGGAGGGAAAACAAGGAATGGGCGACGTGATCAACCACAAAACAAGCACATGGGCAAACACCGGCAGCAACCTATCCAGGAGGCTTCGGCAGCAGCTTCTTCGAGGCAGCCCATGGCCCAAGGCATGTTTCGCGGAGGCCCGTTGCTGGGACAAGAGGCGTAAGCGCGAGAAGGAAAACAAACGTACATCGATTTAAGCTTCCCGCACCGACACTTTAGCCCACCTCGCGACGCGCGTCCCACCCCCCGGGGAAACTGGGCGACGCCAGCGGCCTGGATAAAGTGGGGAAGGAACGCGCATGACACTGCCCCTCGACAACGCAAGCTGATTCGACGATTCCTGCAAGTCTCTGGGCCGACGGCGCCCCGCGCCAGCGTGGTCGCGATCAGACCGCAGAACTCGCGCGCAGAAAACGCAAAATCTACGCATGCCGATCCCTGAATTGATGAAGGCTTCCATGGGCACGAACGCGTGGCATGAGATGGTCGGCGCGATTGCTTGGAATTGTCAGCGCAGGTTGGGGGGGCCGGAAGCAAGCGTTCGGGCCCCCACAATGCAGCGAGAAGGCGGAGTGCTGCTGGAGGCGCAGAGTGACCCCGCAACGAGTCGGGACGGGGTTGGGAACCCAAGCGTCGCAGGCAAATGGCCACCGCGCGGCGCGCGCCGGCGAGTCCGCTGGCCTACACGCAAGCTGGCTTGCTCGAGCGGGACGGGTTCTCGACGTATCCCGCGCAGGTCTTCCTGCCCGTGCAATTTAGCAGCGCGGCTACGTGGCGGAGCAAAGGCACGAGCGACCCAACACTTGACGGAACATCTCGCTACAATCAATCAGTCCCTCGATGTCAATTCAATGGGTTGGTCCATCCACCTGGAGACCTGGAGAAGCGATGTGTTGCACGCTGTGGGCTCGGGCAGGGTAGCAGATTGGATGGGGCAGCTGTGTTATTTCAAACTGATGCAGCTTACAATGTTCCCCAACGGGCACCACGCGCGAGGCTCATCGCGACGCTTCGTGCGACATGTTGCGTACTTGGCACGAGCAGAGCCCGGAGGAAGATCGACTGCGCTGCTTGTCCGCGAAGACCATCGAGCACAGGAAGACAGCGCCTTTCAGACCAGTAGGCTGAAAGTACGTCAATTGCTCAAGATGGGCCTCGAAGCCTTGCGCGGGCTCGGGCCCGAGAGACCCTGGACTTACAGAGACGAGGAATTCGCAGGCGCAGGAACTGACTGCGCCAAGCGTCGTGGCAGCGCGTCCGCGCCCAACGGATTCAGCGTCGCGTTGACGTCCAGACTTTTCTCGCAGCCGTTCGCAAGGATCCTGCAAGGTCATCGGCGCGACCCTGCGGCCAGCTCCAAAACAGAGGTCGCACACACACACACACACACACACTCAACCGCCCTCCTGCGCAGGAGGCGCACTCGCTTCGGAGACACCTCCCCCTAGCGTCTGCCCCACTCGTCCGCCCGCCATCCATCCGCTCCCCCCTCCTCCGTGGTCGCGCCACCATCTCGCGTTATGCCTCAGCCGCTTTTTGCTTCCAGCGTGGTTTGCCAGTTGCTCGAATTCGCGGATTCGCCATAACAGCTGCCATGGTTGCCTGGGACACTCGGCGCTCACAACGCGGCACCCTCCACGCTGCATGCGACGCGGAGAGCCGACTCGCGCGGCAGCTCGACGGTAGCTGGCGGCACCCGTGCTGCCAGGGATGCGTCTGTAAGAGCCACTTTGACCTGAACAGAAAATCTGAATCACGACGGGCTCTGGGTACCATGTGGGACCCGCTCTAGAACGCAACGACCGAAAAGCGATACGGCACCCAATGTGTCCATGGACGCTTCTGGGCTAGAGCGTGAGAGCGGTACTTGGCACCGGCCCCAGACATTAGTCTTCTGGAAGCTGGTACACGTGGCCTTCCAACGTCGGGCCCAGGGTCGAGAGGCTGCTCGACGAGCGGTTGGTGGTCCTGGCCGAGGCGCGCGCGGCCCACAACGGCAACAAGGACGCGCTGGCGAGCCAGCGCCGACGCCTTCACCGAGCGAATCCGCGCGCCGCCCGCGCGCCCTGAACAACGGGAGCCGTGCTCCCCCCTGACGTCCATGGGATAAAAGACGACGCCTCCTGTCGAGGAGACGTCGCGAGGAGGAGTGGGGGGGGTGAGGGGAAAGAGGAGGAGGAGGAGGAGGCGGAGGAGAAAGGGTGGGGAAGGAGGAGGGGAAGGACCGAGATATGCGAAAGAGCGTGTTCTACCGCTGCTGGCGGAAAACCGGGGGGGGTCACTACCGGTTCGAACCCCTCCCCCCCCCCCCCCCTCCGGGGGGGGGGTCACTACCGGTTCGAACCCCTTCCCCCCCCCCCCTCGGGGGGGGGGTCACTACCGGTTCGAACCCCCCCCCCCCCTCGAAAACCGAGTGGGGGTGCGGACAGTGGTGGGGACGGTGTTGGTGGGGACAGTGGTGAGGGGACAGCGGGACAGTGGTGGGGACAGTGGGGGGACAGTGGGACAGCGGTGGGGACGGTAGTGGTGGGGACAGTGGTGGGGACAATGGTGGGAACAGGGGGGACAGTGGACAGTGGTGGGAACGGTGGTGGTGGGGACAGTGGTGTGGGGACAGTGGGAATGAGGTGGAAACACTGGGACAGTGGTGGGTACAATGGTGGTGGGGACACTGGTAAAGGCGTCGGCGAGGACGGCGGTGGGACAATGGGACAGAGGTACAGTGGGGACAGTGGTGGGGACAGTGGGGACAGTGGTGGTGAAACAGTGGGACAGCTCAGTGGGACAGCGGAGGAGTCAGTGGGACAGTGGGGACAGTGGGGATAGGCAGTGGTTGGGTCCGTGGAGACAGTGGGGAGAGTGGAACCGTGGTGGGAACAGTTGTGGGAACAGTGGGGACAGTGCGACAGTGGTGGGGGCACTGGTGGGGACAATAGGGACGGTGGTGGAACCAGCGGGGGCAGTGGTGGTGAGGACAGTGGTGCTGGGAACAACAGTGGGGGATGTCATGCGAGCGGTGGTAGGGACCGGGAGTCGTTTGCTGGCGGTGCGTGGGGGGGGGTCGAACCGGTAGTGACCCCCCTCCGGTTTTCGAGGGGGGGGGGGGGGGTTCCAACCGGTAGTGACCCCCCCGGTTTTCCGGATCCGGAGGGGGGGGGGGTTCGAACGTGACCCCCCCCGGTTTCCGACCTGGGGGGGGGGGAGGGGTTCCAGCAGGGGGGGGGGGATTTTCGGAGGGGGGGGGGGAGACCCCCGGGTTCCGGAGGAAAAGGTAGGCAATTTTCCACAGTAAAGCGGCGGTGGATCACGCTCTCTCAGATATGCATATGAAAGGAGCCGCCTGAGGAACCACATGAAAAAACGCAACGTCTGCGATAGAGTCCACATAGAAATTGTAAGAGAGCTCTTGGCTCAACTCTTGGCATACATGATCGAACGCTGGCGAGTTGGCGCAGGACACGTTTACCCTCAATTAGCGAGAACAGGGAATTAAAGAGAAAAGGGTTTGTTCTCCTTCGTGAGACAGCAAAACCTGATGAGAGCGAATTGGACCCTCAGCGGAGGGCCAGTTGAGACAACGGCTGCTCTCCCGCCCAGCCCAATGCCGCGCCTCAAAATCGGTCTCTGGACCTCTCCGTGGTCTATTCTGACCCGTCTTTCGAGGCGAACCCTGCCGTCGCGACGAGACACTTCCAGAAGGCCCAGATACAGAAACAAACAGCTGCATAAACACAATGCCTCGGCGGTCCGCGCGGATCTCTTGGCTGGGCCCTGGACCCCCTCCCTGGCGCGCGGATCAAGGAGCCCAGCGCCGATCCGAGAAATCCCCGCGGACATCCGCGACCCCAAAAAACGCCACACACATTCTGCGCTGGACCCCCATGGGCGGCGCCAGAGGCGCCGCTGGGGAGGCTCAGCGCGGATCCAAAAAATCCGCACGGAGCGCCAGCAAATGATGTTGATGGCATTTTTTCCTTCTTCGACTTATGCCTACTTCCGTTATTCGAGAGAAGGCCACGCCACCGTTGTCTCGACAGGCCCAGCGTCCGATCCGAGACCCCTCGAGCCTGGCGACGGCAGGCTGGGTCCGCGGGCGGGCGGGACCTCGGTGCAGACGGGGGGGCGCTTGGGCTCGCAGGCGTAGCAGGCCAGCCCGTCCACAGTCACGTTGACCTGCCCCGACCGCAGCGGGAGGGGAGGGACCATTTGAGGGGGCCCTGGGACACACAAATAAATAAACACAAATCCCAGGATGCCCGATATTTCCCCATGTGTTAGTGTTTTTCGTCTTCCCCTAGTTCCCATTAGTTTTTTCCTAGGTCGAAATAAATTGTGTCTGTGTGTGTGTGTTTGTCACTTCCTGACCAGTCGGATCGAACGAAAGAAGTTAGGTGTAGCAAATCCGGACGTGCTCGCACCGTGTTTTTGCTCCACGGCGCAAGCAAATCTGGGTTTATTGCTATCTTCGGCCTCTGCAAGGATCCTCTCTGGGCCCTGGAGACCGCCGAACAACGGCTCGGCATGAAAAAGCCGCCCCAGCGCATGGATCGAGACCCAGGGGGGTCCACGCATTGAAGAAACAAATCATCACAATTCCGGGAAGGGGGGGGAAGTGAGAAGGAGAAGCCTTCTCAGAAAGCGGCGGGAACTCTTAAAGGAAGGCCGGAGGACTTCCGAGCCTTCTGAGAAAGTCCACCGCCCCTCTATAGAAGAAGAACAAACACCATAAACAGAAACTTTAGGCGCTCTGCGCCGATTTCTTAGATCCGCGCTGGACCCCGCAAGGGGCGGCGCCCGAGGCGCCGCCGGGGGGGTCCAGATCCGCGCGGAGCGCAAACACTTTACATTTACGGCGTTTTTTCTTCTTCGAGAGAAGGCCCGCCCCTGGGCCGACAGCCAGCCCCCCCCCCAAGACGAAACCAGGGCGATGAAAAAATCGGAGCCAGTCCTCCTCCTCCTCCTCCTCCTCCTCCTCCTCCTCCTCCTCCTCTTCCCTCCTCTCCCTCCCCCTCCCCTCCTCCTCCTCCTCCTCCTCCTCCTCCCTCCTCCTCCTCCTCCTCCTCCTCCTCCTCCTCCTCCTCCTCCTCCTCCTCCTCCTCCTCCTCCTCCTCCTCCTCCTCCTCCTACTGCTTCCGCCCAAGGCGCGCCGCCGAAACCAGCCCGCGTGACCGATCTTTCTCTGGCGCGTCTGCTGGCGCCGAAGGGCGCGCGCCGGTGTATTTCGAGGAGGGTGCCGGGCGGCGGAGGGGAGGCCAGCTGCACGCAGCAGATGTCGTAACGCCGACAGATCGGCGATATGCCCCCGCTCGCGGCATTCGCACAGCGACCCGCCCCGCCCCGGCATTCGCACAGTCGCGGGGTGCGGGGGAACGACAGGGGAGGACTGGCCCAGGGGGTGCGAACCCGCTGAGCCTCCATCGGCCAAGGCGCCGCATCGCCGATACAGATCGGCGACAGGCCCTCGGTGGCGAGACCGCGCGTTCCTGGGCGAGGCGGGGTGCCCAGACCCCGATCCGACCACGACTGGGCGGTTGGTGGGCGATGCTGCCCGCCCCCCCCCCCGCCCCCCGTGCTGGCTCCCCCCTGACGCTGCCCCTGACGGAAGGAGGGGAGGGGCGAGGGGGGTGGGACTGTTGTCGGTCTGAGCCTCGAGGGGTCGGGCCCGTCCAGCGGGAGTGAGGAGGAACGCTGCTCGTGGGGGGACGCAGGGGGCGACCCGCCCCTGGCCAGGAAGGTCGTTGTCGGTGCACCGCTGGCGCCCTCCGACAGGGGCCGCCCGGCGACGGCCCGCCCCACTCGCCGAGGCAGGCGTGAAGAGCCCAGCGCCGCCGCCCCCTCGCCCCGGCCATCTCGCGCACGTGCGACGGGTCCTCGCAGGTGCACTCGTCATCCTCTGGCGGCGCACGTGGCGACGGCGTCGTCGTCGGTGTCGTTCGGAAGAGTTCTGCGCGTCTCTGGGCGCTGTCGTGGCCACGGCTCCACACAGCTCGAATGACCAGACAGGATGGGTCCCAGGAGCCCCCTCTACATTATAGGACATGCTGCCATGCTATTTGTCTTCGGCAGTTTCTGTCTGATGTCATTAGCTGTCGTTGTTTGGGCTGGGGTTGCCTTCTGCTTTCTTTGAGGCTATTGGGTGTTCATTGTCGTTCGTCTTGCTTTTCTGATTCCCCTGGCTCTACTTCCGCGTAGGAGTTGGTCGTGGCCGGTCGCGGGCGCCTCGTGGGCGGCCCGTGCGTTGGGCAGGTCCGTCGAAGCTTCGTCCGGTGGGCGACCGTGGGCGTCCACGCGCCCGCACGCCGGCTAGGTCCGCCGACGTTGCGCCCGGTGGCCGCCCGTGGGCGCCCACGTCGGCTGCACCACGTGGCTTGCACCCCGTATGCAGGGCGCCACACTTGTCTGCACCGCGTCGATTGCAGCACGCTGCGTGCCTCCACATGGATTGCACCACGCAGCTTGCACCGCATCACCTCTCATTGCAAAAGAGAGATATGGAGGAAGAACGGAAAACGGTCTAAACATAAACTGTTGGCGGTCCGCGCCGATTTCTTGGCTTTAAAATGGATCCCCTCCCTGGTGCGCGGGGCGCACCAGGGGCGGCGCCGGATGCGCCGCTGGGGGGGGCCCAGCGCGGATCCAAGAAAACCGTGCGGAGCGCCAAAAGTTTATGCTCATGGCGGTGCTTCTTCGAAGACAGACTCCACCCCGCCCCCCGAGGAGTACCGCCCCCGCCCCTGGCACACTTCAGATTACATACGATGCTAGACGAGCGCGTTCCACTACTCGCAAAGTGACTACTCGCAAATGGCCTGGATCCGCCGCGGGGGATCTACGATAAATTACGTCAAAGCAGACATGTGTTTTTTTTCGAACGTTTGCGAGTAGGCACCTTGCGAGTAGTGGAACGCGCTCGGTGAGATGCTGCCCCATCGCCCACTTTCCGTAGGAGCCCACGCCAGCCCGGCCAAGGCCGGAGATCGCCCCCCGCCCGCCCTCGTCCAATGATACCCTGCGTACAATCGTTTTCTGTGAAGAAGTCGTACGCACTCCGCACGCGAGAACGCGTCGACACAGTAGCAAACACACATGCACCATGCAAGCATCCCAACTGAAGAAGCATAATGGACAGGGTGTTCCATTGCAAACGTTGCAAATGTCCTACCCGAGCGCCTTTGCTAAAATCGCCGGAAAAGTATTGTGGTTCTAGCAGTCTCGTCCAGAATCCGCATTCTCATCTCACCACGCGATGCATCCACGTTGATCTAACACGCGCCCAGTGCACGAATCCAGGGCAAAAAATATAATGCAGGCCACACGTGCGCTGGTACGCTCGATCTACTCCGCAAGATGTTTCACACTCGAAGATCATGCAGGCCGATCTTCTGAACGACGACCACGCGCCGGGATCGCCCAGGGCTGCCCGCTCTCGCCGTACTTGTTCATCGTACTAACTGTAATGTTGCATGATGTGTATGGCACTCGTGAACTACTCCCAAAGCCTGATTTTGTAATTACACGTGATATTCTGTACGCTGATGAGACACTGCTGGTGTGTCATCATTGTTCCAACCTGCAGCAAATGCTGGCAGCAATAGTGGAGGAAAGTCGCAAATATGGCCTGAACTGAATTGGGAAAAGACCGTACGAATACAAATTTCCACAGACCGGGCAATAACATCACGAAGTTGTGAGCGCATAAAGGGAGTGAGGGACGCTACGTATTTGGGCGGTCTTACTTCGTGCGATGGGAAAGTGGCAACTGAACTAAACAGGTGACTTGGGGAAGCGCACCGTATCTTCACGCAGTTGCGTCGGATATGGAGCCTGACTTCAATCAATATTTATGAAAGTTGTGTCCTGAACAAACTCCTGTACTCTTTAAATTCCGTTTGGCTTCTGAAGGCAGACCGTGCGCGTTTAGACGCCTTCCACTGCAGATGCTTACGTCGTTTGCTGGGAATTCGTCCGTACTTCTTTTCACGGGTTAGCAGTGCAATTGTGTTTCAAAAAGCATCCGCTCAACCTCTGTCGAATAGTTTGCTGGCCAGGCAAGCTGCTTTGTACAAAAAATTGTGAATTCGGGATGCCCGGCGCTCGTCAAAGCCGCAGTCTGTAATGACGATGGAAACGCCAAGAGATAGGCTGGGCGCCGAAAGAGGGGCCTCCCCCGCCAGCAGTGGGCGAGTCAGGTATACAAATTGTCTCAGCATGTATAGCAACGGTGCTCTTTCCCCTCCGCCCCCCGTCTCCTCCTCTCCCTCCGCTCTGTATTCCAATGTCGTGCTGCGCTTTGTTTTTCTGCGTCACAATCGTGATGCGTTCTGTTGTTCCGCGTCGCAGTCGTGAGGCATTCCGCTTCTGCTTCAGTCGAGTCTGTGCGTGCACGCAGCCGCTCTGTAATGTCTTTTCAACCATACTTTTCTGAAGAGTTGCCCAGTCTCGCACTCTTCAGCCCACGCGTCCCCTCGTACGCTCTGCCCACGCGTCCCCTCGTACGCTGAAGAACGGCCCGTGGAGAGAATTTCGGCAGCCAACTTCAAAAGGAACACCACATCGTTGAGCGGTGCTGCAGCCTCCCCTCGAGGGAAGAGGCCGGGGGAGGCACGTGAGGCCCCAGACCTCTCGGCGTCGAGAAAGGAGCTCCTTGGCAGATGCTTCACAACTTCGGGTTCCAGAGGCCGGTCTCGAGCCTCTGAGAAGCAATGAAAGTCGGAGCCAAGAGCCCCTGGACCCCCTTACCACGAAAGAGCGTACAGCCTCGGAAATGTAGGGGGAAGAGCGCGGGGGGGGCAGAGATGGGGGAGGGAGGGGGGGACAGAGGCAGGGAGGGGGGGAGGAGTCCGAAGTTCACCGACACAATCACACGTTCACACATTCACAATCACACACAGCAGCAGCAATCCGTTTCGCGGCTGTTTCAGAAGCGGGCGGCCGGACACGAAGACGCCCCCCGTCATCAATAATATCCTCATACGTTGTCTCCATCATCCTCGTGGTCCTCATGCGCGTCCCCCCCACGTTCGCACCCCTATCGTGTTCGCCTTTTCTCCTCCTATTCGCCACCATGGCCTCCTCGGTATCTCCCTCATGGCCCTGCTCCCTGCCTCCCTGGCTGTCCGTCCTGCAAACAGCCAAACACGTCGATGTTCCAGCTGCTCTTGCCCACTACCTTCGGGGAACCTGGCGCGCGCCATCGGACGCGGGTAGGAAACGTGTAATATTAGGTCGGGCATGTCCTCCGACAGGCGGATTTTGTGCGAGAGTTGAAAAATAGTTAGAACATACACTACAAAATTGTCGAAACATGATCGAACAATCGTCCCCTGATTATCTGTTGTAGAGGGACATGCCCGACTTAACTATCAGACTACGCAGGGAAGGCGCGGCGCGCGCGAAGCGAGGAGGATTGGGCGTCCACGGCAGAGGGGGGAGGACTGCCAGGAAGAAGGGGGAGGACGCGGATGGGGAGGACGGGGATGAGGAGCAGGATGAAGAGGAAGGAGGAGGAGGAAGAGGAGGAGGAGGAGGAGGAGGACGGGGAGGATTGCAGACGGTGGATGGGAGGGCAGGGTGGAGCGAGCAGGGGGAGAATGATTAAAAAAACACAAGGAACGAACAGGGGAGCGCATGAGGAACACCCGCATCAACTGATCGAGTCCGAAGCACGCCTTCCGGAACGCGGGATAACGAGCACATGAAACAAAACGAAACTGAGCGAGAGAAACAAACATATGCATATAAAACAAGAATAGACATGTACATACACGCGTGAATACAAACATACATATCGATGTATACTGGAAATACGCGAGCGCCACGCGCGCTCAGGTTCTAGCCGGCTACGACGTCGTTATCAGTAGGCCTCGCACTCAACCGCGAATGCCAAGATACCAAAAGAAACGTCTCAATGGCAATGGCCAGCCTCGGAACGTACAGGTGCTGGGCCTTTGGGGGATCGGTTCGGGATTTGTCGCCAGTCGCGGAGCCGTGCAAGATCCACATGCGGCGCGACGGAACGCTCCGAATTTTCCCCAGATGATGCAAAATGACGCGACTGCCACGGAAGCCGACATGAGCCCCAGTGGCCCCGGGCCGCCAGGCCGCCGCCGCCGCCGCCCCTGCGGCCGCTGTCGCCGCGGCCGCCGCCGCCGCCGCCGTCGTGATGATGGAGGCGGTGGTCGTGGTAGGGGTCATGGACGATTTGACGCTTTGGGACTTGTTGTGCTTTGCTGGATCGTGTAGAGGTTTCCTGACATTGAAGATCTGTGAAAGCCGCCGGCCGTCCTCGGTCGATCGTCGTCGTCGTCGGCGTTGTGGTCGTCGTCAGACCTCTGGAGGCCGTCGGGGCTCCTCGTCGTAACTGTCGCCGTCGTCGTCGCGGTTGTGGTCGCGGTCGTCGTCGTCACCTTCGTCGTTGCAGTCCAGTCGTCTAGGACCGAGGAGGGAGAAGGAGGGATCCAAGGTCGAGAATCGAGGCGCGAAATTGTCTTAGTCCTTCTTGAGCTTCACGGGGCCAGGTTCGATGCCGCGGTTGCCCAGGGCCTGGGGTTCCCGCCAGCGCTCGGTCAACGCTCGGCCAGCGTGCGGGCTCTGACCGCCGCCGCCGCCGCCGCCACTACCGCCGCGGCTTGCGCCGTCGTCGTCGTCGACTCTGCACGTTTTTGCAAGGTTTGGGACGTGGTTGGTCCTTCCGTGACCTCCCGTGCCAAAACTCGGGAGACACCCTAAGACCTCTCGGGGCCCTCGGGGGTCGTCGTCGTCGTCCTGCTAGTCGTCCTCGGCACATGTCCTCCTCCTGCTGCGCGCATGATCCGGAACGCCAGCTCGGATGTCCAGTGGGAACCTTCCAAGACATCGATGTAGATTTTCCCAAGGAGGCTTGCAGAAACATCGCCCTGATGGTCCTGGACGACGCTCGGGGCGCATGCTGCGATCCGTCTAACCTGTCTTTGGGCCGCTTGCGGAATGGCGGATGTGTTCTGACGTGTTCGGAAATATCCGCAAGCTCTCGGCGGTCTCTGGGGCCCCATCGGAGGCCCTCGAACAGATCGTTGACAAAACGATTCATCAAAACAGAACGAGACGGCTTGCCTCTCGGCGCCACCTCGGGGGCACCCTCGGGGCCTCGTCGAAGCGCCATGGTTCTCCCCGAGGCATATCGTAACAGTGTCGGGCCGCCCCCAAGCATTTCGGAAGCCCGCAAGGCGCCCGGGGCCGCTCGGATGCCCCTTAGGGTTTGTCTGGCGATGCCGGCGATGAGTGGCGCCCTTCGACGGGCTCTTTCTGAGGCGCCGTGGGCCGCCTTGGGTGGTCTCCAGGGCCGACTCAGGGCGCTCTCGGAGGCTTCCAGGGCCGCCCTGAACGGTCCAGAGCTTCGCAAAACCAAAGGCTAAAACTGCCAAGAGCATGTTTTTCACTCTGGGCACCCTCTTGGGAGCCACCTCGGGGCCTTCCCGGAGCACCGCGGGCGCGTAGATCCATCTCGAGGCAATGCCGGGCTGTCTCAGGACGCCTGGGGGCCTCCTGGCGGCCCCTTGGGGGTTGGCCAGCGGCGTCGGCGTCGGCGGGGCCCACCTGCGGGCTCTCGCGGAGGCATCGCGGGCCCTCTTTGAGCTTCCTCTGGGCCGTCTTGGGCTTTCCATGGCCGTCTCGGAGCCCCCTCGGGGCGCGTCGTGCTCCGTCTTGGGCGGTCGGGGGCCAGAGCCCAGGAATGCGCGAAAATCTGCTGGCCCCTTGTGGATCGCCACGCGCGCAATGCAATTTCCCCTCTAATTCCCCCCCGGAGGTCACAGTTCCGACGATTTGACCCCCCCCGACTTGCGGCGATCTCGGGGGCCCGCGTCCGCCGCCCTGGAGCGCTGGGCGGCCGGAAAGGCGAGAGAAAGCTAAACAAATAGATAAGCCAAAACAAAAACAATAACTTGTTGCCTTGCGGGGTCCTTTCGGGGGGCTTTTTGGAGGCCTCGTCGGCTGTCGCGGGGGCGGCTTCGGCCGCCTCGATGCCATCCTGGGCGCGTTGGAACGATCTTTCGGCGACCCGATGCCCTCTTGGACCGTCTCGGGGGCCTCTTGGGGCGCCATTGGCCCGTCTTGATCGTCCGCGACCTCGGCGAGCTGCGACGCGCGATGCTGTTCCAGCAACGTGTCCTGCGGCCCGATCAGCATCGGCTCGAGCACCGTCGCGGCGAAGCCGTCTCCAGGCACCGCCCGGCCGGCGCCGATGGCGTCGGAGCGCGCTGCCGAGGGCCGGCAGGCGGGCCGCGCAGCACAGCCCCACCTGCAGCTCGAGCTGGCACAGCGGGAAGCCCGCGCGCAATGCGGCCTCCAGCAGCCAGCGGTGCCTCCTGCCCGAACGCCTTCAGCAGGTCGAGCAGCGCGGTCACCGCGACCCAGCTGATCTCGTCACCGCGGTCCTTGCCGCGACGACCGCCCTCTCGCAGCTGCGCCCCGCCGAGGCCCGCGAGCAGCTGCGATCGTTCTTGGTGCCCCAATCGCGCGCGATCCCGTCGAAGACGAGCCTGCGCCCTCGCCAACACCACGATGGGGGCAATGGGCCCGGCGCCGCCGAGCCTCCTCTGAGATGTGGCAAACCTTCGTGGTCATCTCGGGCCATGCGGCGGGGCGCTCAATGGCCTCGACGACGCCCGCCAGCACCTCGACGCCGCTGTCTCAGATCGTCGAGCTGCCTGGGCCGCGCAACACAGGACGACATTCCCGAGCTAGCGGGAAAAGTCACCAGCACCTTGCGAAGCTGCTGCGCCGTCGGCCCTGGCGGTCGCACGCCAAGGTCCGAAGGCCACTGGACGTTCACCTGCTCGCAAGTGGTCCTCCGCCAGCGTCTCCATTCCACCTCCAGCGCAGTGACCTTGGCGCCGAGGTCGACGGGCGCGTAGGACTCCTTCTGCGACTCCACGTCGTCGTTGACCTGCACGGGGCTCACTGCGAAGCCGATCGGCAGCTTCGCCGCGGCATGGGGCCTGCCACCGCTTCGTTCAGTTTGCCTGGCAACCCACTGCTGGAACCTGACCTTCCGCTCGGCCACGTCGCGCTCCGCCAACTTCACGGCATTTGCGCGGGCCCGCTCGCTCAGTTGCCGAACCGTCGCGGATGGGGCCCAGGAGGCGGGCGCCCAGGCTGGCAAGCAGATGCCACCGTGACCTCGCGACGGGCCAGTCCTGAGGCTCAGCCCCTGGCTCGCCATTCACGGTCTTGGGCGCAGCGGCCAGCGACCTGCGCGGACCTCGCGGCGACCGCTGGCGGCTGGGGGGTTTGCCGACGCAGGCGACGATCTGCCACTCACGCGACACCCTGCAAACGCCACGTCGTCTCCGCAGATGCATTAAGCCAGCGTGCCTCAGCGACAGGAAGCATCCTGACCCACCTCGGTTTGGGTTGCGGCCCTCGCCCACGATGCTTCTGCTCGTCCTCGCCGACCTGTTAGATGTCCATCCACTCGTCCTCTGCTGGCCGAAGAACAACTTCCACGCCTCATCGATGCTACGGCTGACTGGTACCTGCTGCTCCTCACCGCCTGAGCCCTGGCGCATGTCGAACACCTCATGGACTCCACTCCTCCGCGTGGAACGGTCGCGTGGCTGCCCCTGGCTCGGGGGCGGGGATCTAGGTCGCTCAGGGGCCAGAGAGCCCCCCAACGCCCCGCCCCGACCAACGCGCCGACCCTCCAGGCTGCGACGGCCCAGCCCACGTCGCTCCACCAGCGACGGCGCGCTCCCCCCACCGCGCGCCAGAGGCGAATGAGGACACACGGGCACCGCGGCAGCCACCTCAACCAGGGCGTCGAATAACACGTCGTCGCCGACCTCGGCGACAGTCACGGCAGCGCCACCTGGCCCATGCGCAGGCACTCCAGCATTTCGACGTCCAGCTCTAGCACACTCCAAAGACACATCCTGCGCCGTCTCCTTCTCCATGCCAGACTGCGAGTCTGGAGTCCGACTGCATTTGCCCACGGCAGAGGGCGCGGGCCCAGTCGCTTCAGAAGGCGCGCCGCTCGCGGGGCGAGCAGAGTCATTAGGGGCAGCATCGGCAAGCCCACCCTCGGCGCGACGCAACATGCGCAAGCCGCCGCGCGCTGCCGCCATGGATGCACGCATATGCGGCAAAGGGCGTGGACGCCGCAGGTCCAGGAGGGGCGCCACCGGGGGGAATCGCGCCATTATGGGCAGCGCCCGCAAGCCCACCCTCTGGATCCGTCGACACACCTTGCCGAGGGGCAGCGCGCAGCAGTTGGTGGACTCTTTGAACAACAGTGGACCATTGCTCATCGCACACCCGCACCGCGCAGCCAGGATGCGCGGTGGTGGCGGGGGGGGGGGGGCGAGGAAGAGGAGGGGGAAGAGGAGGAAGAGGTTGTTGGGGACGGGCCTGAAGCCGAACATCCAGGATCAGACCAGATCGGACGCGTCCGAATCGGTCTCCTCCTCAAGAGGGGCCCCTGGGCGCGCGGAGGTCGCGCCGCGGTCCCTGACCCAGGCGAGGTCGCCTTCCAGAAGCCCGAAGGAGTCGAAGACCTGCCCCCTGCAGGCGTACCCGCCCTGGGAGTCGAATTCACCTGAGAGGCTACCCCGAGGGGCCCCAGGACCACCCGACCACAACGAGGCCGCCAGGGCCCGCCGCTCAGCGAGGGTGAGGCCCACATGGGGCCCGAGGAGCAGCCCCTTTCAGGTCGTGCTTATACGAAGGAAACTTCGACTGTCGAATTCTCCTCAACTGATCACTGAGCCCTCCCGTGGAACCCGTCTTGGGTCTACATGGGCCAAGCAATCCTTTCGAGGGGTTCCCCCCCGAGCAAAAACTACCGCACTTGACGCGGAACTGAAGCTTCCCCTTGGTGTTCCCTACAGCATCCAAAACTCCAGCCCCAAGCAGGGCGTGGCCGTTCACACGGAACACCAGGAGGGCAAACGAATCCCAATCCCCCAAGTCCCCCCCCCCCCCCCCCCCCCACCACCGAGGGCCGACCGTCCTCAGCCATAGTCTGGCTGGAGAGGTCGGCTTTCGTAGCAGCGGCGGCAGGCGCAGGGGGCGGAGAGGCCGCGGCTGAGGCCTCCAGGCCAGTCGTGTCCCTCCCTGGCTGAGACGAGAGGGCCACCTCTAGACGGGCCGCCCATCTCCCAATTTCCATGGCCAGGCTCCGTAGGCCTCGCCACAAATTCATATCTTCCTCCGTCCGACCGTGCAGATCGACGCCAGCCTTGGCGAAGGTGTCAGCATGCTGATTCGCACGTTGCTCCCACACCGTGGTGACTCCAGACTGGGCGTCGGAGGCCGTCGCATGGGCATTGGTCTTAAAAGCTTCAAAGCCCCCTTGGCCGAACGCGGACCAAAACGGGCCCCAGAGATGACCCCTCGGCGCCCCAGGACCAACAGAGCTCCCAGGACCGTTGGCCCAGGAATCCAACGTTGACTGACAGTCTATATACAGCTGAAACGGGGGGATACCAAACTGCGTCAGCATATGTACAGCGTAGTCCTCCCCGTCCTTACTGGTCTGCTGTGGAGCGGCACTCACAGGTACGAGTCCATATTCAGCTGAAATCAGTTTCCAAACCGATCAACGCTGCATATCGCCCACCCAGCTCTAGACATGCCCTCCAGGTTGGCCCACTTGGCGGACCCGTCGAGGAACAGGAGTCCTGAGAGCACACCGGATGAGGGGCGATTGTGCCACTTGATGGTCTCTTGAACCTCTGGGAGCTCGAACAGGGCCTGAGGATCGGGAAAAATCCCACGAGCAAACCTCTCACTGAGGATGGGCAGCTCTTTTACGCGTGCAGCACATTGTTTCAGCCTGTGTCCTACATGATCTCTGCGGAGGGGCTCGTGGGCAGGACACTCGTACTGACGGTGCCACAAAAAACCAGGTGCTCCTCGGCAGAGCTGGCAAAGGTGATCCGGATGCAGCCCATGATTGTGCAGTCTCGCCTGCGGCCAGTGTACACCTGCAACCAGACCTCGGAGACACCTCTGAAAATGTTTCGTCCAGGAGGCCCCTTTGCTTTTCGCCAGCTTACGAATACCACTCCAGAATATAGGAACCAACGGGGGCCCATTCGGGCCGCTCTGGGTGCTGAGGGCATGACGGTCAGATTCCCGAGAAGCTCCTTGCCTAACTAAACCTCGTACTTGCATCGGGGACAACTGCAACAGGTTGTACTCGACTCCGAGGTCTGACACGATGTGGGTGCTGTCCTTAAAAACCCAGCCTATGCCCCTGAGGCTGAGCAAGGCGACGTCCGACGGCGATGCACAGCTGCGCCACGGATGATCCATCTTAGACAACTTAACCCTGCTATACTGCATCGTATTGGCCAGGACTTGCGCATTCGGGACCGACTCCCAAACCGCCGTAGCCCACATAAACATCACATGCCCCACGTACACCGCCAAAGGGTCTATCTTGGGTCCCAGGTCGCATGTGTACATCCTGAGCCCCACAGAGGCCCCACGCGGGAGGCGCCCCAAAGATGATACAGCTGAAATCCTGAGCCCCGCCATTCGAGTCGGCGCAATGCCCGCTACACTTGAGCTCCATAAAGCCACTGCAGTGGGCTCCATGCGATGTACCATGGATATATCCGCACCCGCGCTCTGTAAAATCTGCAGCCGACGAGCTCTGGACGACGCCTTCGAAAGCCGAGCGTTCTGTATGCTGATCCTCCGAACTCCTCCAAGAGTAGCATTGGTCCCAAGGTTCCTGGTCGAATCGGTTCTGCACTCCGCAGGCAATGTCCAGAGCCCGCGTAGGTGCTGGTCCACCTCCCTGGTGCAAAAGTCTGCACATTTCTTAAACTCGACTGGGAGCTGCGGAGGAGGAGGAGGATGAGGAGAGCGAGGAGGAGGAGGAGGAATAAGAGGAGGATGAGGAGGAGGAGGGGCAAGTTTGGCTATCTTTGGGCCACTTGGTCCAGCCTCGGCCATCTGTTGGGAGTCTCGCGGGCCACCTCGGAGGCCCCCAGGGCCAACCCAGGAGGCCCAGATCGGCTGCATCCGCTGGGTTGCTGCGCGTCCGCCGCATCAGTCGCAAGAGCGCCCAAATCGGGCCCCCCCACCCCCCCAGGATCATCCCAAGATGCCCCCCAAGGGCCCTCCGACAGATGTGGCCTCAGGCAGGCTTTGAACACGCCGGCGCGGCCCAAAACGCGCACGACAGTACCCCAATGGCTGCCCGCGACAGCCCCAAGCGAGAGCCACCCCGGACGGCCCAAGACCGCCCAAAGAAGGCTCGCTCCTCGGCCCCAACCAAGACCGACCAGACGGCCCCAAGACGGTTCTACCAAGCACCTGTGGGAAAGCTTGGCAAGACCATCGCGCACAAGACAGCCCTCAAAGACCTCCAAACCGGCCCCCGGAGGCCCCCTGCCACAAAATCCGAGTGGCCCCGAAGATGCCTAGAATAACAATTTCCGAGAGGCAACGCAACGGGCATGCTACGATATGGCCATTCATCCTACGTCACGGTAGTGTTGCTCCCCAGACAGTAGCCCAGTATTCATCTACCAAGCCTCGTGGGGAGGGCACAATACATCTGCATGCATGTCAGAGCTGCGCTGGCACGGTGACGGAGTCTGTCGAAGAGATCTGGACATCGCAGGTGCTCCCATTGACGAGACTGGGGCATTGCCTCATGATAAATTCGTTCGTGCGTCCGCTGCTGACACATCCGTGCGCGCGTGATGCTTTCAAGCATCATGGCATAGCACCATTGAGCTTATGACGGCCCAACGGGCCTCTGACTCTCCGCAGCTGGACACGGCAATTCAATACAAACCGACATAGAAACCAAGCCGCTGATGCAGGGGAGGGGAAAAGCAGGAGGCCCACATCACGCGACTACGCCGACACAAAGGAAACCGATGATTCGAAGCTGTCACTACGCCGAGAAGAAAAACGAAGCACTGAAGGGCAGCATCCATGCTCGTCGTCGCGTTTATCCTCCAAGCCTGCATAGCTCTTGACTGGCGAGGGAAGCGTGCGATCGCGGCCCACACATGGAACCATCGGGACAGAAGGTCGTGTTCTCGTCATCCATCAGGTGCTCTCCTGAGCCACAGGGTCCGAATAAGTTCCCGCTTCATCCTTCCACCTCCTGCTCATCCACGCCACCCTGCCTCATCCTCCTCCTTGACGAGGGGAGCCCAGCGGAGGCCTCGGTGGCAGGCCAGACAACACCACCTGTGC